GATAGATAGATAGATAGATAGATAGATAGATAGATAGATAGATAGATGAGACGACGCTCTCTCAAATTTCTTCCTCAGAAAAAAGGGTGTCCAATTTTGGCAACTTTAAGACTTGTGGGCTTCAACTCCCAGAATTCCCCAGCAAGCCATGCTGGCTGGGGAATTCTGGGAATTGAAGTCCAGACAGTTGCTAAGGTTGGACACCCCCACTCTAAAACATGAGACTAGGAAAGATGCAGCCTTTAAAAGAACCACTCTGGGCATCAGTGTCTTCTGCTCTGGAGGAATAAAATAGTCCAGCACAGCTTTTGAATCAACCACGCTACTCCTTCAAGTGAACAGCAACTTGTTTATGTGTAAATATAATTTTCAGTAGATGTTAAAAGTATAGCCTCTGAGATTTAAATAAATTTCAGCTAATACTTTTCCTTCTGGCAGCTACGACTGGGAGAAAGGCTTGTGTTGAATTGGGAGCTGTTCATTGACAAATTGGTGGAAATCTGTCCTAAACTATTAAAAAACCAAACAGCATCTCACAAATTACCTTGAATTGGCCCCATTCTAAAATCCTAGGGAGAAAATTCTCCTGTGATGAGTTGAAGATAATTATGGTAGATGTTAATAGCATTTTCTTAAAATGATCTGCCAAGAGCACATACTATAGCTTTTGGCCCTCGGAACTGATCTGTGTTGCAAACCTGGAATTGGATTGCACTGGTTTAGTGGGAAGGAAACCAGGATAATGCTTATTTGGTGAGGGTCCAAGAGCTGTTAGTTGCAAAAGGCCACAATCCTTTTCATTGAGCCCAACCTCCTGACAACTTAATGAACACACCTGTACAGGTAATCCTTGACTTATGGCCACAATTCACCAACATAAGCCATCGTGATTATAAGTCGAGCTGGTTGAGTAAGTCCAATTTTACCATAATTTTGATGGCAGTCGTTAGCCAAATCACATGGACGTTAAATGAACCCAGCTTCCCCAATGGGGTCCTTGGCCAGAAATCAGCAAGAATTGCCTCCGATTGCAACCCTTGGAATCATAGGATGTCATAACTGGTCAAAAATGGGAGCCAAGCTCCCATGTTGCAATCATGCATGAGTGGTGCAACAGTGTGAGTACAGCTGTAAGTCATTTTTTTCTGAGGCTGTTGCATTAAACAATGGGCACAAGTGGAGACCTGCCTGTGTTGTTTTTCTTGGCCAGAATTTGGAGGTGGTTTGACATTGTCCTTTCCCTCGGATTCTTCTATCCCAGCTCAGTTTGTACAATCTTGGGGTTTCCTAGGGGTCTCCCATCCAGTTAAAACTCTGCTGTCCTTTTTCCAGACCAACCATAGTTGAGTAGACATTGCTACCGCAGTGGGACCTAGAACAATCATGATCAGCAGAACCAGTCAAGTTGGGGTGGTCTGTAAATGTTGAAGGATGGCTGGACAGATGGATAAGTAAACGCAGGACTGTCCTCACAGTATCTTTTGTCTGTCGCTTTGACTCTTACAGTTTGGAGCCCGGAGGGGCCGGGGGAGGGGAACCCCCGCCGTCCTTTCTGCTTCCCCAGTCTGAGGAGTTTGAGCCGCGTGTTTCGGAACTGGAACTGGACCCGCCAAACTGGCGGGAGCTTGTCCCCCCCGACACCCTCCTCAGGCTGAAGAAAAGTGAAGTAAAGCGGCAAGAAGTGATCAACGGTACGTGAGGGGATTTCCCTATCGGCCCTACCAGGTAGACCAGGCTCAGGAACGCATGGAAGTCAGGCTGAGTTTTATTGTAGCATCTAGAACATCTGTTGTAGCGCCTAGAACTCAGGGTTTTTAAATCTCGTCAAATGCCTATAAATATTCTCAATCAATCCGGTCACAGTTGTCCCAGAGATGCTTCCCACTACCCCCCAAAAAGTAAGTTAACTTTTCTTTGGTTTTTATTTTCTTTGAAAACATTTCGCTTCGCATCTTAAGAAGCTTCTTCGATTCTAACTGAAGAGCCGAAGAAGCTTCTTGCCTGAGAAGCGAAATGTTTTCAAAGAAAACAAAATCCAGTTGTCTTTGGGGGGGAAAAAAGACATTGGGTTAACCTCAGGAACTTTAAGCTGTGTGGCTCAAAATTGCCCAGCTACAATGCTTGTTACTGTTATAACCATAACAAAATGTACTAGGGATTCTATTTAGGTAAAAAACATTTTGCAAACCAACCAGGCAAAGTGACAGGAAATGGGGATAAATGAATAAAACACAAAACGAGAAAGCAAGTGGACTTTGCAAACCTCATGGAAGATTTAGATTTCCAGCCCATTTTTATTTTTTTTTGCAGTTGCGCATATTTTTAAAATCTTATTAAAGCTTATCATGAGATCAAATACAAATAGAAAGAAAAGTCAAGGAAGTTAAAAAGGAAGAATGCAAAAGTTAAGGTAAAAGAAAGGTAGTGACTTTTGCCTTTTTCAGTGCAGCAGAGTAGAAGAAAAATTACAACCTCAATCTTTTGCTTTACATTCCTAATTACTTCAGACCACTTTTGTAACACCAGAGTCAATGTAATCATTGGAACCTAAAATAAAGTTTCATTTTTGTCTATTTTGAGGATAAAGCCTAAAAGCGGTTTCCCAGTAGGAACAAAACTAGATAAGTTCCTCTCTTTAATTAACACTTAAATTAAGATTTAAATTTAATTTGTCCATCTCTGCCAGCTCCACCACCTCAATTATCTATTCTTCCACGGCGGGAATTGATGCATCTTTCTACCTCGGTGCATACATTCTCATATTGCGGTCAAAAATTGCCTAGATTTCCTATGGGTTGATCTTCGTTCGCCTTTTCTCCTACAGAGCTGTTTATCACAGAGCACGCCCATCTGCGGATGCTCCGGGTGTTGCTTGAGGTTTTCTACCAGCCATTGTTGACCGAGGGATTCTTCACCGAGAGCGAACTGGTGAACATTTTCCCCAGTCTGGAGGACTTGATCGACGAACACAGTGAGAGCACGGCGGCAAACGGGGCGGGGTGAAAGCAGAGTAACTTCCCTGCTAGATTTATTTGGGAATTGCTGTGGTGGGTTGGGTCATTGTCGTGGCATTTTTCCTTCTCCTTGAGTCATCCTTTGTCTGTCTCCTCTTTTCCCAGAAGTTTTTCTGGAAAACATGAAGAGGCTGAGGGAGGAGAATAATTTGATTGTCTCCGAAATTGGAAGCACTCTGCTGGCTAGAGTAAGAGCAACGGTTTAATCTGGGTTTTTTTAGCAAGTTGGGTGGAAAACAGCCGGAAGGGGCAAAACTGGTAAGGCGGGTGTCAAGTTTCCAAGTGATGAAATCCATTTTAAAAAGAAAAGCACAAAGTCCATCTTCCAAGGTAATTTCTTCTATTTAGGAAAACATCAAATTGGAAAAGTCCGTGGTAATTCTGGATCTGACGCATATTACCCGGAATTACCCCAAATATTAGAAGTTAGAAACAACTCCCCAAAAGTCACGTTCTCCAACAGAAGTAATTCAACGTTGCTTGATGTCATAAATCTCCATCTCCAGTGTCTGGGCACGGGTAGCTCGGGTTCCCACGGGAAGAATGATCACCTAGCCAAAACAACTCTATCTATCTCCATTCCTTCGCCCTTGGGAATGTGGCAAGCCCGAAGCCCTTCGCCCATGACTGCCAAAGAGAAAATAAGAAAAAGAATATGTACTAAGCCTAACTAAAATGGCTACACGTATGTCCATACTGAGCTTGATAGGAAATTCTAATGGTGCTCCCTGCAGACACAACCATTCAGCACTGTTTTGGACTCTCAAAACCATCTAAAAATCAAACAAATGTCCACTGACCACGGACAGTGGGAGGGCAAGGCTTGGGGTTTAAACCCTGGGGTTGGGAATGATGGGGGCAAGGAAGGTATTTCCGTAGTTGACCTTCGTGCTGACTTTTCCCTAGTTCGATGGGTCTGAAGGAAACTGGTTTCAGAAGATCTCCTCTCGGTTCTGTAGCCGCCAATCCTTTGCATTGGAACAGCTGAAGGCAAAGCAGAAGAAAGAAACTCGTTTCAACCAGTTCATCCAGGTAAGCGCTAGGAGCGGAGAAGGATCTGCTGTTCCTGGGACAGGACTAGGATGGGTGGGCGGATGGACGGACGGAGGTGATAAGTAGGTAAGTAGGTAGATGATGGATGGATGCGTTGGGTAAGGTAGATGATGGATAGATAAATAGAGAAGGAGGATGAGTAGATAGATTGGATAGATAGATAGGAGGTGTCATACCCGTCAGAGTCTGAATCCGAGGGGGAAGACGAACAGCTGACAGGGAGCGGGAGAGTTGGCTGTGGAGGAAACTGGGGAAGGGCAAAGCCCGGCTGGGCAGAGCAGGGGAGAGGGAGAACAAGGGAGAGGCAGTTCAGAGGAAGACCCAGGCCCACCCCCTCTTCATCCTAGGGCACACAGGGAGGAACGGAGGAGGGAGCAACGTGAGTTTATCTTGTGTTGACTTTGCTTATCTGTGTTCCTGGCATCCTCCCAACCATGTTGAGTTATTGCCATGCCTTCATGTCTGAAATTCTTGCTCCTGCCAGCTGGACTAATTGCCTCATTTTGGACATATAGTTACAGTTTGTGTTGACCATGTTTTGGACTTGATTCCCTGCAGCCAAAGGCTGTTCCTGGGAGAGTTTTTCTCCAGCCCAGAAGGTAACCAGGACATTGGGGGCAAAGTTGGAGCTAATAAAGGGACTCCTACTGATTATCTGACTGTGTTGCCCTTTGTGCCACGCCCCGGGTCAACACAATGGATGGATGGATGGACAGAAAGATAGGTGGAGGATGGATTGATGGAGAGAGATGGAGAGAGGTTGGATAAAGTTGGATGGACGGTTTTGAGAGCATCTTCTTCATGGGAATGACCAGCTATACAGATCTGAAAGCCAACCCCACCGAGGGCCTTTCCATAGTACCTTTCCCAGGCACCTTTTTCCTGATTGGTGAATTGTTTCCCTCCTTTTTTTTTTTTCCCCACAGGAAGCAGAAAGCAAACCTCGATGCCGGCGATTACAACTGAAGGACATCATTCCTATTGAGATGCAGAGGCTAACCAAGTATCCATTGTTGCTCCACTCTATCGCCAAATGCACCGGTGAGCGGGGAGGAGACCACAGCACACCAGCCCCTCCCCTCCCGGTTCTCCACCGTCTCCCAGAGTTTGTCCAAATCCATATTTGTTGCGTTGATAACACTATCTTAACTATCTCATCCTCTGCCGTCTCTTTCTATCTTTCCCGACATCTTTTCCGATTTCATGGAAAATAGACCTGTCTAAATTTCAAGTGGAAAGATCCCTGTTAAGGAACATATCCCCACAAAACTTTCATGTTTTTTTTTTCTTGTCCAGAGGAAGCTGAGGAGCGTCAGAAGGTGGAAAAGGCGGCCGAATGTTGTCGTCAGATCCTCAACCACGTCAACCAAGAAGTCCGCGTTATGGAGAATTTACTGGTAAGGATCCTTCCTTGAGCGATCATTTCTCCTTCGGAAAAAAATCCTGCCCTTGTTCTTCACCACTTTAATGTTGGTTTTAAAACAACAGATATTGTGATGTTTTTTTCAGAAACTCAAAGACTATCAGCGGCGTTTGGACCTCTCCAATCTTAAACAAAGCACAGATCCCCTGCTGAGTGAATTTCGGGTGAGTCCCAACGAAGTATTCGACCCATTGGGCCGTGGGGACAGAGGAAGCCGTAACAGTGAATGAATTGTCCTTTTAAAACTCTATACAGGCAGTCCTCGAATTAGGACCATAAATGAGCCTAGCAATAGCAGTCATAAAGCAGGCCATCATGAGACCGGACCTGATTTTAATGACCTTTTTTTTAAAGGAGGAATTAAGAGAAAGCTTTGTTTGCTGTGGTCATTTTTCTTTTCTGGAAACCAGAAATAAACACCAATAGGAGGGTGGAAAAAAAGTAAACTGCAGCCATGTGTTCCTGTTGAATTTTGGCCTGCTGTGCTGTGATTGGAAGCGTAAGATTCCTCAGGGGAAAATGCGAACATCCGATGTAGTGACTCCTTGGTGGAGGTATTCGTCAGAGATGGAAAAGTAAGGCTAACGCACAGAATCTAACCAGCCTTTTCCCCACAGAACACAGATATCACCAAGCGAAACCTTGTGTACGAGGGACCCCTGACATGGCGAGTTACCAAGGATAAATCAGTAGGTGAGTGGGACCATCTGGAGCTCCAGGAATAAGGGCATGGGGAAAATATGAAGTAAACATCAAACTAGGATTTAGGGGTTTGGGAACTGGGTCTGGGGTATCCTGATGTTGGAGAGCAACAATCCATTTGGGAGGAGGCCTCAAGAAAGGAATTAGCCTGGCGTTGCTAAAATGTAAACACAAGAAGGCAAGGTCTGACCATCTTTTTGGATGCCTCTGAGCCTTATCTAGTCTCCCGCACAAGAGCTGCCAGGGTGGGGAGATTCTTGTACTATAGACAGGGAACAATAAAGTACATAGTCGGAACTCTACATGTGCTGGTTTGGTTGTTCGTGCCTGGCACCATATAGGAGATTAATATGGAGCAAAGTCAAACAGAAGCAGACATGTTACAGGTTCAGAGCAAAAGCAGCAACTCAGGTGCTCAGAAACAGACATCAGTTTCACTTTAGTTCAGCTGGACGCACAGCAGAGGAGAGAAACAGTTTCATTTTCAATAGACAGACTCGGAGCTTAACACAGCTGCAGAGCTTAATATAGAGCCACGCCTACGCTACTTCTAGTTTCAGTTTCCAAACAGTCCTCATTGGCTGACTTAGTTGCTATGCCTATTCATTGGCTGACCTTGTTACCAAGCTCTATTCCAGTTCACGAATATACTCTGACAAGATGGCATCCTTACGCACATTAAAAAAAGAAGAGGGGTTCTGGCGGGGTGGTCATAGCTGCCATCTTGACTTCTTTTTTGACCTGTCTGTAGATCTCATCTTGACTTCTTCGACGCCTCTGTCCGATCGTCTCTGTTGAGGCAGCCAAAATAAGAGGGGAAATTCCCAAGCGCGGCCTGAGTGGGTTTTCCTTCAACCAAATTCTCATAGCTGTCACATCCTTCCTGCGCCATACCTCCACCTACGTCCTAGTTGGTTTAACCTCCCAACCCTTGAGGTGTATTCCCCACGTTCTCTGGAGTTTCTCCTCATTAATAACAGAAAAGTAAGGACGGGTGCAGTTCAGAAAAACGGGCCTGATCCCGATTCCAGTGGGCCTTAATTATCTATCTTGCTCGACATTACTGAGTAGGACTTCTGCAGTAGAGTCAGTTTTTGACTTACAACCCCCAGTTGGGCCTAAAATTTCCATTGCTAAGGGAGGCAGTTGTGAAGTGAGTTTTGCCCTATGTTACGGCCTTTGTTGCCACAGTTAACTTGGCCTTCCATCCTTCCGAGGTACATAAAATGAGGACCCCAATTGTTAGGGGCAAGAGGCTGACTGTAAACCGCTTAGAGAGGGCTGTAAAGCCCTGTGAAGCGATATATATATATAAGTCTGAAGGGCTATGGCTCGTGCTCCTCCCGAGCAGCTTTTTTTTCATACTTCTTATACTTCTCACGTTCTCCTTGATCCCTTCCAGATGTTCACGTCCTCTTGCTGGATGATATCTTGGTCCTTCTCCAAAAGCAGGAAGAGCGCCTGGTGCTCAAGTGTCACAGCCGCACAATCACCCCAACCCCTGACGGGAAACAAATGCTGTCCCCCATCATCAAGCTCAATTCTGCCATGACCCGTGAAGTGGCCACAGGTGGGTGCTGGAGAAGGTCGTGGGAATTGGAAGAGGATGCAGAGGATTTCGGCCTTGGGTGCTTATTTGTTGGTCTGGGCCTCTGCCCAAATTCTCATTCCGGGTTGGGTTTGGTCCAGCCTTGAAATATAAAGGTTGTTTTCTTTGGGAGCGGACTCCAAGGAGAATTCACCTGTCTTGTAGACATCAAAGCTTTCTACGTGATCTTCAGCTGGGAGAACGGAGCTCAGATCTATGAACTGGTGGCTCAGACCGTGTCGGAGAGAAAGAAGTAAGGAATCGGGGTGGGAAGAGGGACTTAACTTGCCCATCAAGCAACCAGATTACAGGTAGTCCTTGACTTACAACATTTAGGGACTGTCCGAAGTTACAACGGCACAGTGACTTACGACTGTTTTTCACACTTACGTTGCAGCTTCTCCGTGGTCACATAATCAAAGTTCAGGTGCTTGGCAGCTGATTCCTGTTTATGAGGGTTGTACTGTGCCAAGGTCATGCAACCTCCTTTTGCGACCTTCGGTCAAGCAAAGTCAAATGGGGAAGCCAGATTTGCTTGACAACCGTGTTACTAGCTTAACCACTGCAGCGGTTCACTCAGCAAGAAAGGTTTAGTTTAGTTTATTGTCACTGCACCTCGTACAACGAAATCAAACACCATCTTCAGTGCACATCATGACCATGACCATGAAAATGAACACAAACACACATCCTTCACCCTTCACAGATTGAACCGAAAAACCCTGACACCACACCAACACTGCACTATACAGTGGGATTCAATAGAGTTACTGCCCTGGGATAGAAGCTGTTTTTCAGCCTATTTGTCCTTGTTTTTATTATTGTCCTGTACCATCTGCCAGATGGTAATAGTTCAAAAAAAAAGGGGTGCCCAGGATGAGATGGATGTTTTAGGATGTTTTGAACATTAAGGCAGCGGGAGCTATAAAGCTCTTCCAAAGAGGGGAGAGGGCAACCCAGGATCTTCTGGGCAATGACGTTCACCCTCCGGAGTGCTGTCCTATCTGCCCCTGTGCAGTTGTAAAATGGGGCAAAATGCACTTAACAGATGTCTTGCTTAGCCACAGGAATTGTGGTCGTAAATCGAGGACTACCTATACTGACTGGGGTGGGAGATTAGTTTGGAAGAAGGAGCATCTCCTCTACTTGCCCCCTCCCCCTTAATTGGGGTGATTGGGAGAAGTCTTCTGCCTTTATTTAAAACACCCACTTAGTTGAGCTGTGTTCACACAAAGTTGTGACAGAAAGATGGTGCTGGGGTTGTGCCAAATCTCGTCACAACAGAAAAGCTTTGTTTGTGTTTGCTGGGAAATTCGGGGAGAGGTGGGAATTCACAGTCCCAAAATCTCTGGTGGATGCCAGGTTGGCGAAGATGGTGCCGCTGATTCATTCTCTCTCTCTCTCTTTTTTTTTTCATCCTAGCTGGTGCAACATAATTAGCGATACTGCCGGTTCACTGAAACTACCCGCTTCCAGTGCCAAACCTCGGCTTTCGGTAACAAACCGAATCTCACCACATAGTCCCAGCTAGTAAGTTATGTTATAATGAGAAAGGGGAGGAGGGGGCGGGAGCGGGAAGGGATAATGGGAGACTATAATCACCAACTTCTTTTAACGACCCCATCGTCCCTTGCGGGGTGGAGTCTCCCGGTCAGCTGCTTGGCCTCCTCTTCAGAATCGGACTCCTGCCGGGGCATGACTCTAGGCAGTATGTGACCAAGACTGACATCTCCCTTTTTTTTCTTGTCAGCTATTCAGAAACACTCCTGGGTGGAGCAGAAAATGGCGGCCCCCTCAAGGAGGCACTGCAGTCAGAGGGTAAGGAGGAAGGTTGGAGGAGGAAAAGGGAAAAGGATGGGGCGGACAACTTGCATTCTTACCTCGTCAATGAAACCAACTCTGTTGGGATTGTCATTTCAGAAAAACCGGTGTGGTATGATTAACACCAGGAGTGGCCAACTTTGGCCACTTTTAAGACTTGGTGGACTTTAACTCCCAGAATTCTGGGAGTTGAAGTCCTCGAGTCTTCAAAGGAACCAAGGTTGGCCACCCCGATTTACACTTTCAGATTTAAATTCAGGGCAGGTAGATCTGAGCTAGATTTCCGAATCGATTCCAGAAAAGGTATGTTTGAGGAGGCCGCAGGAGCGTCTTGAGCCATCCTGACTGATTTGTAAACATCCAGTTTAATAATTTGAGTTTTCAGTTTGACCTGGAGGTTCACCTTAGAACCAGATCTTTCGATATTTCACAGACCGATTGTAGACCTTGTTTACGTGGCTTTTACTGCCCTCTTGAGTTTGGGGGAAGACCACAGTGGGGAATCTGACGGTGTTTTGCTTTTTGCTATCCCAACTCAGAACAAGAAAAAGATGGAATGCTAGAAGGTGGAGAGTTTGAGGAACGGAACCCTGTTGGTGGAGCAAAGATGGACAAAGTGGTGGAGACCTTCATGACTGACCTACAGACGTTCTGCAGATCTCCACCTCCTGGCCAGGCCTCTCTAGCCTCTTCTGCACAGGACCGAGGTTCTTGATAAGCACCTTCCCCCTTCCCCTCTGTTGAGCAAGTCTGTTGCCCACAGGGATGTGAAGGGGACCATCTTGTCTCCTTCCAGTTTTGGCCCTGAAGAGGCTACTCCAGATACCGGACGAAGGAGAGGCCCTCTTTCCCGTAGAACCTACAGATCTTTCTCCAGAGAATGGAGGCCCCCAGGAGGGAGAAGAGGAATGGAATGGGACGTTCAGGATTGAAGGAGATAACAGCAGGAGGCTTCCAGGTGAGTCCTTGACTTACAGGTCGGTCTTAAATTAAGCCCAATGTTTTCATCGCTAATCGAGACAGTTGTTCAGTGAATTTTGGTCCGTTTTGCGACCTTTCTTGCCACCGTTGTTAAGTGGCAGGAGGACTAGCTGTCAAGGCTGATGGTTTAAGAGCTGACCAGCTGATGCAATGAGAGGAATGAGTCTGCAAGGTCTTTGGCTACTATCCCTTTAAGAGCCAGTGTAATAGGAGGAGGCCCTACTGACGTGTTCATTGGTTTGAGTTTCTTCCCTGCTGTAATTGCTGTTTGTTTCGTTGAGTTTCTTCCCTGCTGTAATTGCTGTTTGTTTAGATCAGGGGTCAGCAACCTTAAACACTCAAAGAGCCACAAAGGTCCTAACAGGAAGCCCCCCCCCCCCATTCAATTCTGGAGCCACATGGAAGTCCGGTTTCCCCACCACCATAGAGTCTCCTCCTAGAGTGGCGTCCTTTTTTTCTCTACCTATCCTAACCCAAAGCCCTATCAATTGTGGAGCCGACCGGCGACAGGGAGCTACAGCAGAGGGGTGAAAGAGCCGCATGCGGCTCCTGAGCTTTAGATAGTGCTTGTAGCATGTGTATGTATAGTATTCCTCTATTCCTATTGTAGATAAAAACCACTATTTGATACCAACAACTGTTGGCTGTACTTGCTCCCGGACTGATAGTTGTGATAGACCTGTGCAAGCTCTGACACTAGCTATATTTATACCTGAAGTTAAAAAAAAAAAAGAAGATACTAAGCAAATATCAACCCATTATGCTGTAAAAGCATTTATCTCCACAGCAGGTTCTTTGAACGGCCCTCCAGATCCAGAGTGGAGTTCTGAACACCTGGATAAGGAAAGTCCCCGTTTCTCCATCGTTCTGTCCCTCCAGCAATCTGACGGAGTGAAGCATCACTTAAAGCTTCTAGAAGATGCAATTCAGGGTCTGAAGGTGAGCGTGGAAGGCCCCCTAATTCCATCCCATCCCTTTCCCTGAGCCGTCGCCTGTCCAAGATGGATGGTGGAACATTGTCCTTAAGGGGTTTGGCTTTTTCCCCAGACATTAAAATGTTTGGCAAGTTCTTGGTGGAGACGGGAGAAGATGGAAGCAGGTGTGGGAATTTTACTTAAGGAAGGGCCTAGAGTGGGGAGTGAGCGAGGGTGTTCTCCTTGCAGTCCCCTCACCCATGGCTCTCTCTGAAGTTTGAAGCTTTTCAATGAAAAGGAAAAGCAAGACAATAATACTTCCCAAAACTGAAACTTCATTCAGACTGAGATGCATAATGTAGCAGAAGAGAAGGCAGGGCTGGGGGCAGAGTGAAGGGAGACATCAGTCTAGAATCCTTATGTTGTCACAAATGGTCCC